CAGTGGGAAGGAAAAACTCCCTTTTAACAGGAAGAAACCTCCAGCAGAACCAGGCTCAGGGAGGGGCGGGGCCATCTGCTGTGATTGGTTGGGGAGACAGAAGGAGAAGAGGACAAAGACGAGTGCACGAAGAGCGAACGTCGCTCCGTGGTGTGGAGAGGATGAGCTCGGACAATTTGGAAGGAATGGCAGGAGAAGAGATCCAAGGAAGTTGCAAACAACTGAAATCTTGATGGATGAATGAGGGGAACCCTCTATCGGGGAGCAAAGTGGCTCGACGGACAAGAATGCTGGATTTGAGATTTGAGGTAGGGCTTGGCGGCTCGAAGAGCTTGTGAGCTTGTCTTTGAGTAGAAGATGGAGAGGGGTTGCTTAGCTGGTTAATTACTTCAGATAAGGTAGCAATAACAACTGAGATGATTTCTGAATTAACAGAAGTGACAGCAGCAGATTGGGAAGAGTTGATGAATTGAAAAACTGATTAGAGGAAAATAATCTCTATAATAATAACCCCCAAAATCATCCGAGAGCAGAGAGCGAGTCCACTGGACTTCGTGGGAGATGATAAGCCGTTCAGACGCAGTTAGAACCGCGAGTCGACTTAGAGAGCGGTCTCGAATGATTCTGTCGAGGCTGGATGCCTGATGAGGCTAGTGAAAGCACATGAGAAGTGAAGGGACGCCATGAAGACTCACGCGCACGACGCAGTTTGGATGTCTTAAAAGAAGTGATAGAGGACAGAACCTGGCAACTCGGTGCCATGAAGGTTCACCTTTGCTTTGCAAAGGCAGGAAAGATGGCAGCGAAACTGGCATCTCGGTGCTGGAAGCATGCTGCTGCATTTACGAATGAAGGATAAAGAGAGAACCTGGCATCTCGGTGCCACCAGGTTCGCCGGTGCTTTGCGAAGGCAGGAAAGATGGCAGTGAATCTGGCATCTCGGTGCCGAGCAGAGAAACTGGCAACTCTGTATTAGAAAGCATGCTAATACAGACATGATAAAGAAGAACCAGGCATCCTGGTGTCAAGCTTGATATTGCATTTGTAAAGAAGGGACAGAGAAAGAGAACCTGGCATGCTGCTGCATTTGCAGATGAGGGACAAAGAGAGAACCTGGCATCTCGGTGCCAGAGGGGTTTACTACTGCTTTGCAATAACGGATGCAGAGAAACTGGCAACGTGGTGGAAGAAGATTGCTGCTGCGAAACTACGAAACTACATCTTTACTACGAAAGATGGCTACAGAAGGAACCAGCAAGAACAGGGGTGGGCAACTCCAGGCCTCAAGGGCCGGTGGCCCTGCAGGTTTTAGATGTGTCCTTGAACCAGCACAGCTGATTTAAATAGCTAAATTAGCTCCTCAACATGTCCTGCAGTTCTCCAGAGGCCTGGTAATGAACTAATCATGTGATTCAGGTGTGTTGACCCAAGGTGAGATCTAAAACCTGAAGGACACCGGCCCTCGAGGCCTGAAATTGCCCACCCCTGAGCTAGAAGGATTCTCTGCTGCTTTAGCCATGATGGATGGACCGAACTGGCAACTCAGGGGTAAGAAGCTTGTCACTGCGGTTTGCACATGCCCAATATAGCAAGAGCCTGACACTACTTTGCTAGAAGGGTTTGCTGCTGCTTGCAATGATAGAAGTCGAGAAACTGGCAGTTCGGTAGTAGGGAAGCTAGATGCTGCATGCAAATGGGGGATGAAGGAAAACCTGGCAACCCAGTGCCTTTTTATTTATTTGTCTATGCAGACAATGCCAACGCGATGGTAGAAAAGCTGCTGCTGCTTTCGCAAATGAAGGATAAAGGAAACTGGCAACCCGGTGCCGATGTTTGCTAAGGAGTTTAGCCGAGGAGGAAAGAGGCTGGGAACCTGGCAACTTGGTGCAGAGGTTTGCTGCAGAATTTTACAAAGGAGGGATGAGTGGCTGAAAGGCTGGCAACCCGGTGCCGATGTTTGCTGCAGAGTTTAGCAGAGGAGGGATGAGTGGCTGAGAGGCTGGCAACCCGGTGCTGACGTTTGCTGCAGAGTTTAGCAGAGGAGGGATGAGTGGCCGAGAACCTGGCAACTCGGTGCTGACATTTGCTGCGAAGTTTAGCAGATGAGAGGTTGGGAACCTGGCAACTCGGTGTTGAGGTTTGCTGCAGAATTTTGCAAAGGAGGGTTGGGTGGCTGAGAACCTGGCAACCCGGTGCCGAGGTTTGCCGCAGAGTTTAGCAGATGAGGGATGAGTGGCTGAGAGGCTGGCAACCCGGTGCCGAGGTTTGCTGCAGAGTTTAGCAGAGGAGGGATGAGTGCCCGAGAACCTGGCAACCCGGTGTTGAGGTTTGCTGCAGAATTTTGCGAAGGGGGGTTGGGAGGCTGAGAACCTGGCAACCCGGTGCCGACGTTTGCCGCAGAGTTTAGCAGAGGAGGGATGAGTGGCTGAGAGGCTGGCAACTCGGTGCCGACGTTTGCTTCAGAGTTTAGC